TGTAACCTTTTGCCAGAGGGGTTGCAGCAGTGCTATCGGGTAACATACTTCCCCATGTTTTTGTTGCACTTAGTAAAGACAATTCTGTCTGGCGTGTTTCCATTGAACGACTTGCGCCAATAGCTATATGGAAGTCCCCCTCTTCAGTTTTGGGTAGTCTATATCAGTAGAGGCATATTGTTTTCGTATTCGGTTGCCAAAACTGTTGCTTTCATAAATTTTGGGATATCCAGTCGCCTCTGTTCAACTCGAAGGAAGTCTTTCCCTTGATCTGCTGAATAGACACAACGCTGCTCTTACATCCTTGTGCTTATCGTGTTACGGACATAATAATGAAGTTTCATCTTGGCCCAAGAACAGAAATGAAGCACCGGACATAAATTTCTAGAAATTCACTGAAAAGTGAAGCATTTTTCCTGTCATTCTGAAAATGCGTACAGTGAGCATACAGCAAGCATCGAAAATTCACTCATTTGAAAATGAGCGAATTTTCGGTGTTTGCTGTATGCGTTTACGCCTGTTGACGTGTGGAATTCGAAAAAAAAAAAACAGACACGACTACAAAAGCTTGGTTAATAACATTTGCACAAAAAAGCAAACAAATTGATGGAAAGAAAAAAGCAGAAACCCGATTTTGTATTGACAGTTTTGCAGAAATTGAGGCAAAGAACCAGCACGTATTTTCGCAATTAAGTGTTTCTGGGCAGAGTATGTGGACAAGATTGAATCCTTCCAAGCGGACAAGTGAAAGAAAAGGTAGGTGCGAGTTAACTGCCCTACCCGATATCACAAGGTTGCTTAAACTCGCAGAGTTGGAGCTTCAATCTTTTCAGTTGACTTGATGCAAATTAAGTTTTGGACTTGAGATTTCGGCTTTGAATTTCGGAAAAATGGACGACTATTTCTAAGGTCTGCGGAAGAAAATCATCTAAGTTGGATCAGAATTTCAAATTCTAAGCCCTGATTTATAAAATTAATGGTATTTCGGTCCTAAGGCACGGACCAAATTGTTAGAAACCACAAAAATTAACAATAAGCCTGCCGCTTTTCAAGACTAAAAAAGTTCGGTTTTCAGCTTTTACTGTTCAAGAGAACAAATGTACAAGTATGTGACCTGATTTCAGCTGCACATTTACAAATATACTGAAAACTGCAAAACTACTTACATATTCGAGCCAGGCATTGAGTTCAATTGCCTGATTGCGGTCATCCTAAATGCAGCAAATCAGCGGAGATTTAGTAATGTTCTTATCTTTACAAATCTTGTCTGCCGTGTACTGAGGACGCATAAGAAGGAAAAAAACGGTTTATGAAGTGCATTTGAGCAAAGATTAAGGTTATGCTGAGACTAAATTTATACAGTCAAAATAAGTAACCCAAACATATAAAGCCATCTATACTGTAGGTGCATACATATGCCATCTGTAGAAGAGGTAAATTTTTGAATGGATTGCATTGTTCATAAGTGAATTTGCTTGTTCCAGATAGATGCCTCAGTATTAAACGCCAAGCCTCATACTGTACGAAAATAAAATTGCGTAACGCTTCCACGCAAATACCGCAAATGAAAAAATTGATTAAAATGTCTGTAAGAAGAGACTGACCAAGAGTACGATTTGTTGCAGGAATAGCCGAATGGTCACTCGCACTGCGTTACTGCTATTCGCCACTGGACGCACCAACTTGTTCGACCTTTTCAGCAGTTTTCTGCAAATACACTTATTCGGTCATTCCCCGTTTCGCATCATCTAAATTTGCATGTCAAATTTTAGAAGCCGCAGAGATGCTTTCATCGGGTAAATTTGTCCAGGATTTAGGATTTGACGTAGACGATGAGGGAGTTCGGATCATTTCAAATGAACACTGCTTTCCGGCACTGTTGCTGTGTTGTTGATGGCAGTAACCCACTTACTGATAGAGTTCGCTTTCCAATGGACTAGTGCTGACGTGTATGGTAGCGTAGCAAAACAGACAGTACAAGGGAAGCGCCACCGAAAGCTTTCCGGCCGGCATATCCACACTGATTCTGCCTATTTACATAACACTTGTTCCCAGCTTTCGAGACTCAAGTACGGCCTGCCGTACCTCCAGTGTAGCCACTGCATTCTTTTCTGAACTGTGCTTTCGATGACTTGGAC